GCACATTTCATGGTCCTTTCAATAAAGTGATAAAAATAGTAGGTCAGCACTGAAACAAAAAAGTTTTTCACTCTGTCCATTAGGGCATGTCCTCAGGCATGTGATTAGGCCATGTCCTCAGAAAATGTCTAATATCTGACCTTTCCCCGACTGCCCTTTGACCTGTGACCTCCAAATATTAAGAGCATAGGTCGAGCCGTTAAGATTTGTGCCGCAATTCCGTATTTCCTCCTATACCTTAAGTTAAGGGTGAAATATTCCCCCTTCGTTTACACATCTTGACCTTTGACCCTTGACCCCCAAATTTGTCACCCGGATTCCTTTTCACGATCCCCCCCCCCCCCCCCACCAACGTCCTGAATATCGTGACCGTACGTCGAGCGGTTAAGATTTGTGCCCAACTATTGACGGACGGACGGACGCACGCACGCACGCACGCACGCACGCACGCACGCACGCACGCACGCACGCACGCACGCACAATCATGCGATTCTACAAGCTGCATCTGACTTCGTCAGATGAGCTAAAAACCCAATTCAGCAATAATTAACGAATTCAGCTAAGCCGTGAATGGGGTGTCACGTCTATGTGATTGCTCTCACCTACGTTTCCTAGCTATACAATGGCCATGAACACCACTCCCACAACTAGGCTTAGGTGCAGGTTTAATTTTACATTTTGAGTCACAAGAAATAAAATGATTACTTTCTTCACCTTCTGCTTCGAATCAAATTCTTTTTGCTGAATCATTGCTGGCATTCTATTGACAGGCTCATGTTTCGCAATAAGTAACAAATGCTGAAAGGCTTGTGTCAGAATATTCATTAAGATTGCCCTGCATTCATGACTAGATTTTGTCATTCCAACGCTCATATTACGGATAATTGTACTTACATGCTATATCTCAGTTTCCCGCTGACATTTATTCTGTCCTCTCCATATAAATCAGCATCTACATGTAGCTGGGAAATTACAAAGCAATCATAAATTAATGCAACACAAGTGGACATAAGAGCTTTATAGATACAGAAATATCATAAATGAAAGTGACTCCACCTCTCAGTAACAGTATAGCTGCACACTGATGTTGTGAGTGAGTACCCATGAGTACGTGCTCAGTTAAAACCATCTTAACAGAAACTAACACTAGTACCAAAGCTGGGTTTGCTCTATTTACATTCAGTCAAAAAGTTGTCAGGTTGAGTTGATAAAAATGTTTGACAAAAAAAATTATAATTATAAATGTACGAGTTGGCTAAATAAAGTAGATCAACTAAATACCCTCAGCTTGCAGCCAGTGGCCTAAAGGTAATATATATCACAACTTCATTAGTTGATAGATACGTATGACGGTATGTAGTGGTGCGACCGGTGTTGTAAGCAAACGATATCTTTAAAAAAAAAACGTGTTTCAAGTGGATGTGGAACCACAGAATTTTTACATGTGATACAAGTTCAACCTGATTTAATTGAAAACATGCAGTTAGGTGTACGTTAGTAGGTACATTAGTTAATCTACAGTAATGTTCTGAATTAAATAAGATGAGAAAAGGCTGAAAAGTTTAATAATGTTCCAATTTTCTGTCTAAAAAAAGTCAATACTCTAAACCCAGCTTAACCCATCTATCTCACGAATCATAAGATTTTGTAAATCATGCAATCTGGAGTCATATTCTTATTTATCATTGAAGGTAGGACAGTATTCTAATTAACTTCCTATAACATATATTTAATGTCACTTTTTTGACATGTGAAATACAAATATTCAACACATTTAGAGTAAGGAATCAAATATTTAGACATGATGTTCTATATGACCCATCAACAGATTGATCCATTGATAAATGATGGCTGTCACCATAGCCGCGCGTGTTACCACTTTCTACAGCCACTTTCTATATATTAGTCATGTAAGCTTTGGAAAACGGTGCTAGGGTTGGAGACATGGACAGGTAGCTGAGAAACCACAATAATGAACCATGTACGATGATGCTATGAATACGAACCGGCTCTCCATAGTCCTTTCTCAGATAAGGATAATCCCAGTTGTAGTATGGATTTCTAGACTCTCCTGACACGGCTTCGATTTTTGGATAATCACCATATCCCATTCCTGGGTAGACATACATAAATAATTATTCTTATCAAATATTATATACGATTACTATTCACCACAGGTAATTCCTTACCCAGCATATGCATACTTAATTCGTAATGTTGAATATACACACACA